GTTATTTTCACCAAATGGAACATACTTTCTGAAAAACTATAATGGGTTTAGTTAATGAGTCAATCGTACATCTTAAATATACATCTTGAAAAACGAAACACTTTCAAAAGAAGTAAAGTCATTCTTATTGTAAATCTATTTATACTAAGCAATGTGAGGTATTCAAACTTCAACGTACACTTTTGTATGCATTTCAAGTCCTGTATTATATACCATAATCTCTTGGAGGGAGAGAGTGATACTTGTGTATAGATCTATAAGGGATTGAAAATCCCACACCTAAACTATTAGCTATAGTTAGACCGGCAGGTCTGGGGTGACAAATGTCATAACACTACAACACCTGAAGAATGTTGTTACAGGGATTCAGTGTCAATAGTATGGTTATAAAACTCACAGAAAAAAGTATAAAAACAAGTTTGATTTACGAGATTCATATATGCATTACAGTTTTCTACATTATTTTTCATACAAAGTTATCTTTATCATTCAAGTACGAAAAATACTAACGCATTCCAACTCTGGAAACTTTTCGAATCATTTATAGAAAATATTGGATTTTCTGAAAACCTCATTTACCGATTTGCTGCCAAAAAGGATACACTTTTCAACACAAAACACTCATGAACTCACCAACTTAATTGTTGACACTTTTTCAAAACCACTTGTATTTCTCAGGGAACCAGTAATACAGGTAACCATCAACTTTTGGCAGAAGGAACGCTAAGAACGTTTATCGTTAAACATTTATGTCATCATATTGTAATATTCTTTTGGAAATATGTATAACGCAACAATGTAGGTTTTTATTATATATATATGATGGCTGTGTACTTTCTTTACGATATATAATTGTTATGGTACTACGTGAAGTCATCCACCCCCGAATGTTTCCGCCATTCTGGTTTGGGGGTGTGACAATTTGACCTAAAGTCAGATGATAGTTTCAAATCATGCTTACTTGGAAAAATGACAAAGTCACCCTTCACAGGTTCTTGTGAGAGGGGTGAAGGTTTGTTGGATCTCGTACACACGGATGTGTGTGGACCCTTCAAACATGACACAAGGGATGTTAATCGTTATTATTTGACTTTTACTGATGATTACAATAGATGTGGATACGTCTACTTAATCAAGCATAAGTCAGAGACTTTCGAATGGTTTAAAGAGTTTAAACAGGAAGTCGAGAATCAATTGGGCAGGAACATTAAGATGCTTCGATCCGATCGAGGTGGTGAGTATCTTAGTTCAGAGTTCCTTAACTATCTTAGGGAATGTGAGATTGTCTCACAATTGACACCTCCCAGGACACCGCAGTTGAATGGTGTGGCTGAGAGGCGTAATTGAACCTTGTTGGACATGGTTCGTTCCATGATGAGTCGAGCTTTGCTACCAATCCCATTTTGGGGGTATACCGTAGAGATTGCCGCCCATATCCTTAATCTGGTCCTTACAAAGAAAGTTGCCAAAACTCGTCATGAGATGTGGACTGGTAAATTACCCAAACTATACCACATCAAGATTTGGGGTTGCGAGGATTTCTTGAGACGCGAGACTCATGATAAGCTCAAACCCTGAAGTGAGATGTGTATTTTCATCGGCTACCCACAACAATCCTTTGGTTACCTCTTCTACAGACTTAGTGAAAATGTGGTCTTTGTAGCAAGAAGGGCTATCTTTTGAGAGAAAGAGAGAGAGAGAGAGAGAGAGAGAGAGAGAGAGAGAGAGAGTTTATTAGCCAAGGTAACAGTGGGAGGCAAGTTGACCTTGAAGAAATTCAAGAGTCAAGTGGTGAAGGAGCTTCAAACCCTAGCACTCAACTTGAGGAGGAAACTCCTGTTGAGCCAATTGACATGTCTATACCTCCGAGGCGTTCCATAAGGGTTAGGAATGCACCTAAGCATTACTATTGATTCCATATTACTGTGGAAGGTGATACACTTCTCAGTGATGAGACACTGATAGGTCTGGATGAACCTAACAGTTACACGAAAGCCGTGGTAGGCCCTGAGTCAGCCAAATGGAAAGAGGCAATGGACAGTGAGATACAGTCCATGTATGACAATGAAGTTTGAAACTTGGTTGAGAATGTACCAGGTCGTAAGACTGTAGGGTGCAAATGGATCTTCAAGAAGAAGACTGACATGGATGGTAATGTATACACTTATAAGGCACGACTAGTTGCAAAGGGTTTCTCACAAACTCCGGGAGTTGATTATGATGATACCTTTTCTCCAGTGGCCAAGATTAGGTCTATTAGGGTTCTGTTACACATAGCTGCATTTCATGATTATGAAATATGGCAAATGGATGTCAAAACTGCTTTCCTTAATGGAAAGTTGGCTGAGGATGTTTACATGAGTCAGCCAGAGGGTTTTGTCAACACAGAGTACCCTAAAAGAGTGTGTAAGCTTGAGAAATCCATTTATGGATTTAAAGTGTAATTGACATTGTATGTGGATGACATACTACTCATAGGAAATGACATCCCAACTCTGCAGGAAGTTAAGTCCTGGCTTGGGAAGTGTTTCTCTATGAAGGACCTAGGAGAAGCTGCCTATATTCTAGGGATAAGGATCTTGAGAGACCGTAGTAAAAGACTAATTGGACTTAGTCAAAGTACCTACGTGGATAAGGTGCTGAAGTGATTCGGCAAGCAGGACTCCAAGAAAGAAGAGTTACCCATCCAGAGTAACGCCAGATTGAGTAAGACACAAAGCCCTAGTACTGAGGCTGAGATAGCAGAAATGAGTCGAATACCTTATGCTTCGACTGTAGGATCGATCATGTATGCTATGACGTGTACTCGACTTGATGTAGCCTTTGCCTTGAGCATGGTTAGCAGGTATCAGGGGAACTCTGGCAAGGCACACTGGACTGCGGTAAAGAACATCCTCAAGTACCTATGGAGGACTAAGGACTGGGTTCTTACCCTCGGTGGGAGTGATGACTTGAGAGTTGTAGGGTATAGTGATGCTAGCTTCCAGACTGATAGGGATAATTTTCGCTCTCAGTCAGGCTGGATCTTTACCTTAAACGGAGGAGCCATTTCTTGGAAGAGTGCCAAGCAAGAGACAGTGGCTGATTCAACTTGCGAATTAGAGTATATAGCAGTTAGCGAGGCAGCAAAGGAGGCGATACGGCTGAAGAACTTCATTAGAGACCTTGGAGTTGTAGCAGCTATTAAGGAGCCAATGGAAACTTTCTGTGATAGTGATAGTGTTGTTTCCTTAGCCAACGAACCAAGGGATCATGGGAGATCCAGACACATCGATAGAAAATAACATTTCATCAAACATCGAATAGAAGAAGGACTCCTCGTGGCAAAGAGGGTATCATCGGATGAGAATCCAGCAGATCCCCTCACGAAGGGACTGACTTGGGTTAAGCATCTCCAGCATGCTCGGAGCATAGGGATGAAGGATGATATTAGATTTAGTAGTTAGATAACCTCGAAATTTGTAAAGTGTAATTGACATTAGATGATGAATAAAAGGTGTTTAATTTATGAGTAAAGTGTTGCTATCTATTGTCGATCGTTTACTATATTCCGTTTGCATGTTTTGACTTCCAGAATAATTATGTTTGGTATATCATATTATTTGAACCTCCACAGTCGGTCATATGTCGGAAGTAGGTATGAATCAAGATTGTCATGATTGGTTGTAGAGGTCTAAGGTGTTAGACATGGCTACAACAATCACGAGTGCTCATAAGTTCTGAACATTGGACTCAACCCACGCTCACTGTAATCACTTCATGGAATTTATCTCGAGTGATCGTGATATGGTAATATCATATAAGTCTTCAAACCTAGAGATATGATTTGTTACTTATGAGTTGGTTATGCATTGATTGTATGTAAACGCATTGGTAACTCGATGTTATAAAATGTGCCTTTGTGTATAATTCAATGAGTAGTAGAAAAAACATATGAGTCAAAGTTTATCTATTCCTTCTTGGATTAGAAGCTGATATCTAGGCCCCTCGATGATATTGTTTTGACCTATGTATCAGCCCCGATCAGAACTAAGTTGATGTGTTCAATTAAGCTCTTTGTCAAACAACTCGGAAATCGGGAAACAAACTTCTGGACAATAAGTAAGACATTGTTCCATGTATTTGTTCGGCTGATATCTAGAACAGAGGATTATATGATCACTTATCTTAAATGGCGTATCATCATCTTCTCAGTTCTAAGAAACCTTGAAAAAGCTACGATTGGTGATCGGTTCCTGAAGTCATACTTGCAGTTATCGTTATTAGACTTATCCAAGTGGGAGACTGTTGGATAAGATGTCTAAGTCCATAACTATTTCTGGTATGTACTTGATCCGACCCGGGATGGTCCATTTGAGTTGCATGGCACCATACAATTGGATAGACTAAATGAGAGAAATAACACTTGTGGTTTATTAATATATTATAAGTTCTAATATATTAATAGTATTATTTAATTAGTTTGATCAAGAATTAATTTAGAATTAATTAAGTGATCAAAAGATAACTAACTAAATATATGGATTGATTGTGTAAATAATTTATAACTTGTATAGTGGGCTAAGAGGCTCTATGGATTATCAAGTTGGGTTAAACCCATAAGATGCTCCATGGGAGTTACAAACCCATGGGTCATGGCAATGAAGAGTCATGACACATTAGCGTTTACATGGTGTAACCCTAGATGTGTCAACACTGTATAAGGAACTCATTCTCCACCAAAATCGACTACACTAAGAAACAAGAGGGCTAGAGCCGATTTTGCAAGTGTAAGATTCTCTCAAAGTTACTCCTTTGGATTTGGTGTTGTGCGAAGCATTTGAGGCATCACACTTGGGGTGCTAGGCTCACAAGGTTTCAAGGATAATATTCAACAACAAGGTAAGTTATTCTATCTTTTCATTCAAGTTAAAAAAATGTTCGCCATGTATGCTAGATAGGAATATAACCTTGGAATTCAACTTTGCATGATAACTTAGAGAAACATAGATCCAAGGTTATTAGGTTTGCATGTACACATATGAAGTGTTAGAATTCTCAAAACCCATCAGTTCTAGGCCCAGGAAAACATCACACCACCAAAACCTAGCTTCATCGAGCAACAGACACGCTGCAAATCTAAACTTGGCCTCCGCCGGACAAAAGTCGGTGAGAAAGGCACTCCCCACATCGACGATCCAACGAATACTGATAATAGGCTCCCTCTTTCCCATGAAACAAGGAGACCCACAAGCATAAAACTTCATGAAGGTAACCTTGCAAGCCCATGGCCAAACAGCCTCCAGATCAGCCCACATAACCCTATGGCGCTTATATATCACCGAAACCAGCTCATCCATGACTGTGTTGATCATATTAGGCAAATCTTCAATCCCGAAACTCAAAACCTATGAAACAATGACGTCAATGACATCCCTTTCACTCATACCTAAATCTCCATCAAAAAAAGTTCCCATCCTGAATCTGAAAGATAACGAGAACACATTAAAATCAATACACAACATTAACCGACACTATGCATACCCACCTACAAGTTTTGTGGTATTCATGTAACACTTCCTTGAACCAACTATGGATCCTATGTTTTCAGTAGTATGGGCCCAATACTACCTTCCAGACCTATCCATGCTCGTTCTAACTACTATTCCAAGACTCCCAAGTCACTTCGCATCACTCCACTAAACTCATTATATGCATGTCTAGCTATATGGATAATAATATATTTCCTAGACTCTCTATATGATTCCTCCCTTCCCACAAACCCGCAATCCAAACAAATCTCAACTAACACCACAAGAAATGTCTCACAAATACCCAATCATATATAATCCAGAATGAAATAGACATTCAAATTAATGTCTCTACCCTAAAACCATAATTAGAGAAGGAACAACTCATTAGGCCAAAACATAAATTCTAAGGTTATTAGATTCTAGTTATATATAGCCCCTATGAAATTTGATTAATAGTTCAACAATATCAGACAAAGATTCCAAAACACATACTGCAATTAGAATATATAAGGCACACGAGGCTTCTATACAAATCAGGAAATTCTAGCATGAAATTCTTGAACAGATCCTTAACCTACAATCTAGCATGCATAAGAATCCATATCACAAATACATAATCATAAGGGTATGTTGGGAATCACTTACTTCCTAAGCTCAGGCTGACTGTATGCATCACATCTTGCTTTTTATAACTTGGAGTTAGATCAAGAAACCATATTGTCACACCCTCGAACAGCAGCTTAAACACTGGGCTGTGTAACTTCATTTTTGTATCATAGTTATTAAACATACATTGAACAATACAAAAGAATTATTATAAACTATATATCTTTATTGATGATATAAAGTTACATTATTCCTGTTTCTTAGTGATTATTAGATAATATCCGAATTATCGAAAATGTCTTAACATATATATGTTCCATATGAACAGAAAGGATAACAGTAAAATTTCCCATGTTCAAGTAACAATTCAGCTTATCAAGTTCCTGAAAACACACGAGTTTTTAAAATACGTCAACATAAAGTTGCTGAGTCCACATGTTCTGACTCTCTGTAAAATAGTACTTTTTTAAGGTTTCAAAAGTATAAATCATAGTTTAAAAGTGTCATTCTGACTCATACTTATCTTTAACATGTAGTATATATCCTAGGTATAATGGTTGACTTAATAAATAAATGATATACCTACAATCTCCATATACCTAAATCAAGGAAGGTTACTACGTATAAATCTTATTTCAATTCTATACGAGTATATATGCTAGGTATAAGTGTTTACTTAATGAATAAGTAGAAAACCTACTAATTCCTTGTACCTAGAGTATAAGTATTTGGGAAACTTATACTTAACATTAATACTTGTATATTGACAAAGTATAATATTTTTAAAACTATGCTACCATGAGTCCATAATCGCTGCTATATGAGATACAAGACTTTTGATTAAAAGATCCCACCAATGGTTCCACAAAGGATTCTAACATTGATGCCATAAAAGAATTTGCTCGGGGTACCACGAAGGATTCCACCAATATAAATACTCCATTTGCTTCATCGACGCTGGACCACAATAAAACAAATAAAAGGACAGTTCGTCACCCAGAGGGTTTCATTAACCATGGGTTGTAGCAAAGAGCCATGAGTGGGGGTGTCAACCCGTATAGATCTATACACAAATTCCTCTCTCACATGGGATTAGTTGTTACAGGTCAGAGGATTTCCCCTAAGACTTTCAGTCTTAGTTGATGAATATAATAACTCATGTAGACTTTATCGAGTTCCTATAATTCTAACAGTGAAAGCATATTAGTGTCTAAAACCCTAAGTTAATACACTATGCTTTAAACATTAATCCTAATTTTCATAATACTTAGGTAGTATAACAGCTATAACTTGAAGTAAAAACTAGGTTTTATCCTACATAAAACCAATAATAGTAACACTTAACAAGTCAAAGATGATTACAAATTATCAAATATATAGATCAATATCAAGTTTTAACCAACGTAAAACTTATAATAATAACATATTAGTAGTTGTATAGTTTCCAAAATATTAGATATGTCATAAATATATTTGATTGAAAACTACTATATCCCAGTTAATAGATTTTATATTGATCCGAACAAACGATCATATGAACATAATATTAACTTATATATATATATATATATATATATATATATATATATATATATATATACATATATATATATATATATATATATATACATACATATATATACATATATTTATATACATATATATATATATATATATATATATATATATATCACGCCCCGATTCTCAGGTATGAATATAAATGAAAGTTTATTTAACTTTAAGATCTACTCGACGAGTTGGTTGCCCTACTCGTCGAGTAGCAGCGAGGTGGGATCGCGCATTTAGTGGCCTACTCGCCGAGTCCATAAAGGGACTCGACAAGTAGGGGCTAGCAGATGAAACCCTAAATCTCGGGGTTTTGCACCCTATTTAAAGAAGCATAAGCCCCCTTTAGCCTCTTTACAGTAAATTGAGAAACCCTAATTCGTGTGGTGTTCATCCTGATGGGTTTTGAGCATTCTAACACTTCCTAAGTGTACATGCAACCCTAATAACCTTGGATCTATGTTTGTCTAATTATCATGCAAAGTTGAATTCCAAGGTTATATTCCTATCTAGCATACATGGGGAACAATTTTAACTTGAATAATAGATAGAATAACTTACCTTGTTGTTGTTTGTGTTCCTTGAAACCTTGTGAGCCTAGCACCCCAAGTGTGATGCCTCAAATGCTTCACACAACACCAAATGCTCTTGGAAGAACTTATGAGAGAACACACACTTCTTAAAATCGGCCAAGCCCTCTTGTTTTCTTAGTGTAGCTGATTTTGGTGGAGAATATGTTTCTTATATAGTGTTGACACATCTAGGGTTACACCATGTAAACCCTAATGTGTCATGACTCTTCATTTCCATGACCCATGGGTTTGTAACTCCCATGGAGCATCCATGGAGCATCCTATGGGTGGAACCCAACTTGATAATCCATGGAGCCTCTTAGCCCACTATACAAGATATGGATGATTTACATAATCAACCCATATATTTAATTAGTTATCTTTTGATCACTTAATTAATTCTTGATCAAACTAATCAAATAATATTATTAATATATTAGAACTTATAATATATTAATAATCTCCAAGTGTTATTTCTCTCATTTAGTATATCCAATTGCATGGTGCCATGCAACCCAAATGGACCATGCCGGGTCGGGTCAAGTACATACCAGAAATAATTATGGGCTTAGACACCTTATCCAACAGTCACCCACTTGGATAAGTCTAATAACTATTACTGCAAGTATGACTTCAGGAACCGATCGGCAATCGTAGCTCTTTTCAAGGTTTCTCGGAACTGAGAAGATGATGGTACGCCATTTAAGATAAGTGATCATATAATCCTCTGTTCTTTGATATCAGTCGGACAAATACATGGAACAATGTCTTACTTATTGTCCAACAGTTTGTTTCCCGATTTCCGATTTGTTTGACAAAGAACTTCATTGAACACATCAACTTAGTTCTGATCGGGCCCGGCACATAGGTCAAAACAAAATCATCGAGGGGCCTAGATATCTGCTTCTAATCCAAGAAGGAACAGATAAAATTCGACTCATATGTTTGTTCTACTACTCATTGAATTACACACAAGAGCACGATTTATAACATCGAGTTACCAATGCGTTTTTCGTACAATCAATGCGTAACCAACTTGTAAGTAACAAATCAAATCTCTAGGTTTGAAGACTTATACGATATTACCGTCTCACGATCACTCGAGATAGAATTCCATGAAGTGATTCCAGTGAGCATGGGTTGAGTCCAATGCTCAGAACTTATGAGCACTCATGATTGCTGTAGCCTTGTCCAAGACCTCTACAACCAAACATGACAGTCTTGATTCATACCTACTTCCGACATATGACCGACTGTGGAGGTTTGAATAATATGTTATACCAAACAAAAATTATTCTGGAAGTCAAAACATGCAAAAGAAATATAGTAAACAATCGACATGAGATAGCAACACTTTACTCATAAATAAAAAACACTTTTATTCATCATCAGATGTCAATTACACTTTACAAATTTCGAGGTTATCTAACTACTAAATCTAATATCATCCTTCAACCCTATGCTTCGAGCATGCTGGAGATGCTTAACCCGAGTCAGTCCCTTCGTGAGGGGATCTGCCGGATTCTCATCTGATGATACCCTCTTTGCCACGAGGAGTCCTTCTTCGATCCGATGTCTGATGAAATGGTATTTTCTGTCGATATGTCTGGATCTCCCGTGATCCCTTGGTTCCTTGGCTAAGGCAACAGCACTTTTGCTATCACAGAAAATTTCCATTGGCTCTTTAATAGCTGGTACAACTCCAAGGTCTCCAATGAAGTTCCTCAGCCATAACGCCTCCTTTGCCGCCTCGCTAGCTGCAATATACTCTGATTCACAAGTAGAATCTACCACTGTCTCTAGCTTGGAGCTCTTCCAAGAAATTGCTCCTCTATTTAGGGTAAAGACCCAGCCCAACTGAGAGCGGAAATTATCCCTATCAGTCTGGAAGCTAGCATCACTATACCCTACAACTCTCAAGTCATCACTCCCACCGAGGGTAAGGACCCAGTCCTTAGTCCTTTGTAGGTACTTGAGAATATTCTTTACCGCAGTCCAGTGTGCCTTGCCAGGGTTCCCCTGAAACCTGCTAACCATGCTTAGGGCAAAAGCTACATCAGGTCGAGTACACGTCATAGCATACATGATCGATCCTAC